AAATAAGCTCGTAGACTAATAAAAAAGATGCAAGGCTAATTCCTTTTTTTAAGACCTGTCATATTTTAAAGTTAATTTGACTCTCTTAATCACATCATTTTCTTCTTGAACATAATTATAAAACTGTGCACAAGTGATTTTAAAATTATAATAACAAATGAGAATTGTCTCTTCTCATAACTTCTTTCTTTCTTTGAAATGACATTCAAAAAAATATTCTCTCCATATTTGCATTGTGGGTTAGGGTGCAAACATTACGTATTCACATAGCTTTATTAGAAAGCCTTTTGATCAGTATTTTTTGTATGTGCATAAATCGTAAGCCATTTCTCTTTCATACTCAATTTCGTAGTTTTGCTTGATATTATTTTTCTTTTAATAATATTTTAGATAAACAAACTGGTTAAAGGAATGCCAGTGTTGCCAATATCGATGTTTCTTACTTGTACATATGCACGTTTACGTTCTATTTCTTCCTTCGGGAATTTGGTTGAGAATCATCCAGTCATCACCAGTTCAGGAAGAAAGGAACAAAGGCAAAGAGCAGTACGGGACTGGATAGTGAAATACGGTGACAGTCCCGTATATACGGGATGTACGGTGTGACCCTTTATTATTGGGCACGTTTGTTGAGCTCTTGGTTTTCACCATGTTATGACTCGTTTTTGCACTATGCAATTTGTAATTAATGAACTATTTATTTCTCTGATTTTATAACTTTTTTGGGGTGGGAGTGAGGTTAACCGCAGACAATTGAAATGACCTGGATACTAGAGCACGGCAGTAATTGAAGCATATCTTTGTACAGATTAAAAGATTATTTGAGTTTAAAAATAGTTTTTGTGAAAAATGCTGCATTTTTTAAGCTACTAGAATTTCGCTTGATAGATTGTTGAATATTAAAGTAATTTTTTCGCGTTTAGTTTACTTTTTGTTCGTAGTGGTTTAGTGCATAGGTCAGTGAAGCACTGGTAATTAGTGCAGAGTTCGATTTTTACGGCAGAAGAAGCTGCCTGCTTCGTGATTTTCCCCATATGCGATTTTAATATGAGCCGGTTTTCCTTAGAAACTTCTTCGTGAAGATATCCTTTCTAAGACAGATGGGCCACGAATACTTTGCCATGACAAATAAACTTATCTAATCTTACCTAACTTTGTACCTGAACGTTATAATAAGTAAATTTTGCATATATAAATATTCCTTGTGCGTAAAGACAAAAATGATTAAGCAAGTTACCTATGTTAATAAAAGCAGTATGTCTCAATGTAGGAATACTGTTACGTTCTGCTACAGAAGTATCTTGAGAATGAATTAGTTCATCTTTAACTTCAGCCACTAGATGGTTCGAAATATCTTTGTTTTTTAAACCCTTGGACATTGTTAGACCCGGCAGTTAAAACGGGTTGGCTACGTGTGTTTCATAGTTATTTCCCATGAGGATTATAAATAAAAGATTAATATTATTTTTTTTTTCCTGAATGTTCTACAAATGTAGTAGCTTAATGTCGAAATTTTTATAACACACTGAGCAGCAGATAGCACGTGTAATATATTGGGGAAGGGGTTGAGCACATAGATTCATAAGATTGAATATTGCCTAATTTTAAACAAGACTTGTGCTATATTAAATATGCTAAGAATGCTATTTTTTTATAGTTTTTTTCTAGCAAAAAAGCTGATGTAGGTTCTTAATTCCGCTGACAACCGTTAGGCGGAAGAGTTTGAATTAGGTTACAACAGTTAGGCTGATTGGGTGATGGAATTGGAAGAATTTTAACGGATCATTCTTTCTTTTATCTGATCTTAAAGCTGCTATTTTTCTGTGCCAATTCTATTGACTTTTTGAGCTAGTTGGCCTCCAGTAATTGTTACTTTTCATCTTTAGCGAACCTATTGTATGAAACGAAATTCTCGCGCTCTCTGTGTTAGAAAGGTCTCTTCCATTCTATGGATTTCAGAATGCTTAGTTTATAATTGTTTTCATTTGCAATGCTAAAAAAATCCTGTTTATATATGACGGTTTTTAATTCTATTTCGCTGCTTTAATTTTGCAAACGGATTTTTTTTTTTTTTGGATGCTGTGCAGCTGATAAGAAATACAATTATTTTGCTTTCCTCCCCCCTTTTTTTTTTCTATGGAAAACGATCGATTTTAACATTTGTTTCACTAACATTTTCCCTGCTCCTAATCACTAGTGATTTGTGCTTGTTTTCAAGAGTATTCAAAAATATTTTTTAATAGCATCTGAGTTTGCTGTTTAATAGCTTACGAAGTTTCATAGTGTTTTGCAAAGAGCTTCTTCGATGTATGTATTAAATTTTCTTCCTGCTGTGCTTGAGCTGTAAATGTTTCCGTTTTGCATGCACTCAGTATTAAACAGTGTTTGCTATTCGTTATAAAGCGAAAAGGTTGAACAGCCAGAAGTCCTAGCTTGGATTTGCATTAGTTTTGAAGAAATTTGCATCAGTTCACAATTATTTTTTCCAGTTATGTATTGGCTTGTCTTTCTTCCATATATTAGTGGAAAATACTGTATATTTCCAGTATATCGTGTTTTATATTAGATATTGCACTCTTGTATCGTATCATACATGTGATTTGATAGCTCTTGTTTGTTTAAATCGTTTTTAACTATGAAAAAACACTCTAAAGTTGTCTGAATATGAAGAAGAATGTTTTTGTAAAAAACTTTTCATAAAGAAAACAATTCAAATTCACATTACACGCAGAGAAAATCGCGAAAATACCCATGTAGCCGCCGCCTTACCTACTTGGCCACTGGTGTGGGCGCTTTCAGCTGACTAACCCCATAACTTGAAAGATTCAGTATTAAAATATGTTAGTATTATGGATCACTAAAGGATTAAACATTCAATGAAAATGGGAATACATAAATATGTATAATAATGATATCCTTACGCACTATTGGACTTCAAAAACAAATTATAAAATTCAATAGATAAAAAGTTGGATAGTTTTATATAAATCTCTCCGATAGATTTATTTTTAGAACAGCAGGTTGGAAAACGGAATGTTTTTGTGCACTGTTTCAAAGGAAAACATATGTGTTCTAATTTCCTTGTTTCGACATGTTAAAACCTGTGATTACGAGACCGTGGTTAGTTAGTATTCATTTAAACCTGAGGTTTCGATGCTGCGTTTAGTGGTAACAACAGGGGGGAGGAAGAACATTTGCGAATGAATACATTATCGTTAAAAACAAAAAAACCGTTCTGCAGGCAACGCGTGTAAAAAATGCTCCTAATGGCCTTGTTCAGCAATTTATTGTTTTGAGTCGAACGTATTTATTTTTTCTTCTCACTTGACCCATAACTTGCTTCCCCCCCAATATTTAATGATCTCGTAGTAAAATGTAGTTATGGTGATTTTCTTGCACTGAACAAGGAGAAAAAAGTAACTGATAATAATAATGCCATAAATAAATAAATAATAATAATAATAAAAACTATAGCGCTGGGGAGGGGAGGGAACTGTGTAAGGAAATAATTTTTCGCTATTGCTAGTGCGATTTTCACGTATGTGACTAAAATACAGGTTCAACTTCAGAAAGATAAATAGTATTTTGATATACTGCCTCCTGAATGTATCTGCAGCAATCATAATTTTCGTTGCAACAAAATATAGTAACTTTCAGTAAATACATCAATTATTTAAGTGTAGTATTATAAGTAGCAAAAATATTTAAATATCTTCTTTATATATTTAAGCGGCTAAAGTGTGTGTCGCCGATAGTTTATTGTTGCTACTCGGAAAAATGAGCGCAGAAATAACCGTTTCTACAGTTTTTAATTAATATCTCGGCTACGAAGATATTAATTAAAAACTGCAGAAAGTAAGTCGTACGAAGATGAGAACGGTATCAATGGATTCGGAGAATTTTTTGGAATCCGAGGATACGCGTCTCGAATTTCAATTCGGTGCCATTCCGTAGATATTCGAGAAAAAAGAATTTGGCACGTAGCCGAATTCCTCTAATAGGGAAAACCCAAGAAAGTAGAGAATGTAGGGAAAACGTAGGGGAAAATTAGTTTTTAATTAGTGTCTCGGCTAATTAAAGTCCCAAGAAGACGCGAATGGTCAAAATGGCGTGCCACGGACCTGGGTAATCCAACGGTGTGCTTCTCTAAGCCCGGGAGCCAGCCGTTTCGGAGAAGATAATGTTACTTCACCCCACACACACCACACACACACACACACACACACACACACACACACACACACACACACACACACACATATATATATGCGTGTCTGTTTTCTCTTAAGTGCCTGTTTGTCGCCGATAGTTTATTGGTTGCTTGCGTAACTGTACTAGCCAATGGGGGGAAGTTGCCGTTTCAATTGAGACGTAGACCATTTCATGTAAAACTTGCCTTTGCTATGACCATCAATAAGTCTCAGGGTCAAACGCTTAAGCGTGGTGGCATTTTTTTACCTGAGCCTGCATTTGGAGACGGTCAACTTTATGTTGCCTGTTCAAGAGTTCGTGAAAGAACGGACGTAAAATTAAAAATAACGGATGGTCCTCTGCAAGGCGAGCTTAAAAATGATGGAAAGATCTACACAAGAAATGTTGTGTACAAAGAGATCTTTGACATGTGAATTAACATTTCATTATTTAAATCACCTTTATTGATTGAGCTAGCGGTGGCTCTTAAGAAATGTACCGCCAGTGAATTCCTTCATTGCACTCTACTTTAAGCAAATAAGCAAGTAGATGGGGTAAATCCCGTGGGGCAGTAAGCAAAAGGGGCCTGGGTAATTCAGTTTGACTTAGCAGACACTTTTGCACAAATCATTTTAATTACAATTTATAATATCTAGAACAGCGGTCATTTCGTATGACCGCTGGGCTTTCTAGTAGTATTATAAGTTAATAATATTAAACTTTTACCTCATAATAATATGCTAAAATATATAACATTTCGAAATAGATCAGCTTCATTTCTTTGATTTTTTTTTTTTTTTTTTTTTCAGAGTCCAAGACCGGTTTTTCGTCAGGCTTATCCTTTCATTTATATTCAGGTATGGATGTAAAATTTACTGCAATGAATTTTCTTGAAATCTTGTTAGTTTAGTCATTAGTCATATTTAGCCGATCAATTTTGTTATTTAATTTCATGAGTAGAATCGAGTTAAGATTATTATGGAGGTTGTTAAAGACATTGTCTAATTACACATGTAACGTATAATTTTTAACTGACATGGAAAGGATCCAGACGTCATGTTTTATCTAATGACATTTTTTATTTACCTGCGGGAATATCAAAGTATTTTCAATAAAATATTGAATTTACTTTTATTTTATATGAAAATAAAATAATTATTCATTTCTATAAGTGATTGTATGTATAACATTCGTAGCCTATTAATGTTGTATTATGAGCGAGCATTCTTGCTTTTTTGTTAGTCTTTAGGTCAAATAGTAATTATGGGAGTGTCATTTATCAACTCAGTGTTTGAATATAAGCTGTATCAAAGGACAGAACTTGCTGCACCGATTCATTGTTCCTAGCGAAGTCAAAAGCTGTCAGTTTCTCGTGCAGCCTATGCTAGGGATACTGTTAAAGACAATTCTGGATGAGATTCTTCAATTTCTGTAGTGCAGTGTAACTTGTTCTGAAAATTTGTTTCATAAGAGTAATCTACAGGAGAAAAATCAACACATTTGTTTGGGGTCTGAGCGACCAATTGATGTCGTAATAACGAGATGAATCTTTGCGGAAATATTTGTAGCAAAAAAATGTGTGCTAGTTATTAAAAGGACAGCTCATCGTATGAAACCCCAAATACATACCACCATGATAATATAAGGTATTTTCTCCCTCCTTCCAGCATGCCTTCGTGGTGTAACGGTAGCACACTCGGCGATTAATCGAGAGGTCCAGGTTCGAGTCCCGGGGAGGGCATTGTACATTTTTCAAATCTCGTGCTTCAAAATATCCTAATGAATCTACAAATAGCACTCGAACTAAAAGGTGGTAGACAATAATTCGTCACCACCAGAAATTGAGTTCCCTAATCCCCACTGTCCTTTAAAAAGGAAGGTATATAAAGTTATTTTCTCTCTACTTCCAGCATGCCTTCGTGGTGTAACAGTAGCAGACTCGGCGCGTATTCGAGAAGTCCAGGTTCGAGTCTTAGTGAGGGCATTGCACATTTTTCACATCTTCGAAATATCTAATGACTCTACAGAAGTATTTGAAATTATAAATCGTTCAGCGCCTGAGGTGAGGCAGAAAAAACCGTGGAGCATCCTTACATTTGTGGCATGTTATCTAAGAATGCTCCAAAACTTAGATAATCAATTAATCAATTCAGCAAGGCTGTCAGTCACCACTATAGCTCTCGTCACCAAACTTTCTACAATTCTTTTCTGGGTCCTGGAAAAGGTCGATGCCCATTTTCCCCCAAAAATAAATAAATGAAAACTCGGGAAAAGGGTAATTTTCGACCTCATTTTTCCGAGTGGCAATAGTCTCGCAAGTTGGAGATGAAAATCTGCTTTATTTCGAAAGTTGTTGCCGCTGCTCGCTTTCAAATCCGTGAATTTGTTAATAAAAAAATTCGAAGTTTTACAGTGAAATAAAAATAGCATTCCCAAACATTAAATACAATATTCTCGATTCCAAAAATTCGTGGGATTCATTTCAACTATTCCCATCTTCGTACAACTTTAATCAGCCGAAATAATAATTAAAAATTCTGAAAGCGCTAATTTTCGCACTTCATTTTTTCCGAGTGGCAACAGTCTCACACGCTGGAGATAAAAACCTACTTTATTTCGAGAACGTGTTGCCACTGCTCGCTTTCAAATCGTAGAATTTGTTAATACAAAAATTTATAAGTTTTACGAGTGAAATAAAAATAGCATTCCCAAACATTAAATACAATATTCTCGATTCCAAAAATTCGTGGGATTCATTTCAACTATTCCCATCTTCGTACAACTTTAATCAGCCGAAATAATAATTAAAAATTCTGAAAGCGCTAATTTTCTCACTCATTTTTCCGAGTGGCAACAGTCTCGTGCGTTGGAGATAAAACTGCTTTATTTCGAAACGTGTTGCTACTGCTCGCTTTCAAATCGTAGAGTTTGTTAATCAAAAATTTGTAAGTTTTACAAAATCTATGTATATATATAAGGAAGAATGTCACAAACACTGAAGTGGCAGGTGAAGGGAGAGCATTAGCGCTAAAGCTAATCGGTCAACTGCATGAAACTCGTGATTTCCCTTCTTTCTACCTACGCATTATTCGACAAAACGGATTAAAAGCTGTGCAGTTACGATTTTTTTTTAATCGGGCGATTCTTTTTTAAACACCCTGTATATTTAAAGCTTTTATGCTTTTAAGGTTTTATAAATTTTTTTATCTTATATATAGCTTAAAGTTTTAATTTATGAAGTTCAAACTAGTCATCTGTAACCGAACTATTTTCTGCAAAACATTTGCAAATTTTTTTCAAAGCGAGAAGCGTTTTTACAGTTGTTGCCTTTGTCCTGAAAGATGACTATGTAAGTACTAATTTAGAACGAAAGGCAACCAACTTCTGGTGGGAAACTAGAGACACATTCTACACGCTTCTTATTTTTTAATCCGTGGTTAAGAAGCGTTAATTCTAAAAAAACTCTGCATGGAGACATTTCACTGCGCTTCGTTAATTAGAACCTAGTTTTCGCTTCCCCCCATTTATAACGGTACTCTAATTGAATGTTTTCCTCGTATAAGTGTAATGGGAGGCGTATTTACCATATATTTGGAGCAATGCCATGCTGCGGTTTGCCTTAAAATAACGTTTAAGTTACATTTGGATAGTTTTAGACGTCTAATTTTTTTCTGTTTAGTATCTTGGAATGGGTTTGGTTTTTTGACTGAGTTTGGTTTTTATGACTTTCTTTGACTTTAAGCTAGATGAAGCATGTTCGATATAAAGCCTTGGCAAGGAAAGGAGAAATTGATAAGATATATTTCATGCTTAATTATATTCTTTCTGAGTTGGGTAAACTACTAATTTACTTTTAATGACATTTTTTCTTCCATTTACAGCATCAGTTTTTAGACGAAGCCATGAAGAATCATAAATGTAATACTTGGTGCCCCAAATTACCTTTCATCATAAATAAAAATAACGATATTTCACTAAGTAATCAATCAATCTGATTTATTTTTCAGTGGAATTAACAAAATGTAAACGTAATTATTGTTATCCGATTTGCTTTAATCAGTCTGCTTCTGAAATAAAAATAATATTACGACGTCATCCAAAAGGTGACAAGCTCTATGCACAAAATATCTTTCAATGCGAATTTCTGCAATTCTAAGTTTGATTTCAGTGTTTATCGATTGAAAGCATTTTTTTATGATGCCGATGTATGAAATTGAAGAGGTTCTGTGGTAGAGAACTGTCATGTGTTTAGAATCAGGGTGAACAATTATGGAAGGATCAATGCTACTATTTGTGAATATTTTGCAGTGAGCGTTTCAGAGTAAACAGTTTGCTCATTATATATATGCTATAAGGACTGAACGTATTGTTAGAAAGCTGACACAAGGTCGTAGAAGGGGGAGGGGAATCTGCGTCTGAAGGTTGATTTTCATCCGCAATTACCCCTTCGAACATGATTTTTACTGCTAGGTAACTGAGTTCAAAACTTGCAACTATGAGAACACATCTGTTACGCCAGATAGGGTACATGAAGCTTAATAAAAAGTGCTTTTATGTCAGAAAACGAATAGTTTATGTTTTTCTGGCTTCATAACAAAAGCTGACCTTCGTGAATTGGTTTAAGGAGCAACAGATCTGGAGTCTACAACAAGGGGCCTATGCTGTCTGCAGTAACCAGTCGAGATTAACTTAGCGTTCTAACTAATTTTAGACACGGTTTACATGTTCATGGTACCTCTAAATATTCCCACAAACATAAGGGGACGTTATGGCAGTTTAAAGTGATGGAGAGTATACTGATCAATATTCTTCTCCACATATTCAACAAAAGATCTGTATTTGCTAAGAGATATCGAGATTAAGTCCAATAAGCCTAAAACCTTTTAGAGGTGTATATTAGTCTTAATCTGTTTTTATGCAGGGAACCCGCATGCTTATCGAGCATGCATGGTTGACAAATTGCTTGAAACTGAAGGCAACTGAGCAAATAAGCTGGTCAGCAAAATGTGGTTTGAATCTCGTAGAGGAACACCATGGAAGACGTATTGCGTGGCAGAATTCTGCTTTTAGAGATTTCAGTTTTACAAGTGTTGTGGAATTTACTTCTCCAAATTCGTAATTAACTTGCTTTATTGAGAGAAATTTTTAAATTGCGTTGCGATTGTTTGATTTCATTTGGTTTATTGGCACATATTTGTTTCTTAAAGCACATGAGGGCTACCTGCCTAAGGGGAGATACACCTTCATAGAGGACTTTCTGTGGAAAACTTGCTCTTATCCACATTACGCATAAGAAAAACAACGGAAATGACCATGTAGCCAGCCCGTTCGCTTGGAGTTCAAACCCGAATCAAACTACCAGTTTTCAACGGCTTTACCGCTAGTGGGCCGATTGTGATATATATATGCACTAGTTAAGGAAGATAACACTATGACGTTTCGTACTCTTTGCAAGCATAAAATGTGCAAAACGTCATACAGACTTAATAAGGAATTATCGATATGTTTAGTTATTACCACAGGAACAGGGTGTAAAGGACCCTTTTATTTGACTCAAATAAATATTAACAGACGGCACCACTCGTACTTACAAAAGCCAACAGTTATGACTTAAATCAAAGATAATAAATTAACTAAAACTAAGAAAAGTAAGTTAGCCTAACAGCTGCGCAGTTAGAGTTACGCGCAAGTTGGTTCTGACCTAAGGTCGGTGTAACAAGCTTAATGGCGAGAATATGGCAACGCCGCGATATACTACTAGCAAGAGAATCAATTTAGCAACATGTCCTTCAGCAAGCAGAACACGCTCTGATTCTACGTTTTTCCTTTCTTCACTATTGCCGTGTGTAGCTTGCAG